GGAGGAGAGGGGGTGCGCGGGGGGGGGAGGCTTGTCGTGGGGAGCGGAGGAGAGAGGGCGGAGGGTGGCGAGAGTTGGCAAAGAAATAGTGAGAAGGAAAGAGGCGGGAGGGATGAGGGGGTTCTGGAGGAATCTGAAAGGGGAGGGAGACTACAAAGGTTGAAAACTGCACGGGGAGACCACCACATGCAGTGTGCATGCACTTTCTCCAAGACAAAATTCTAAAGTGACGCTTGAGACTTCTTTGTCACAGTCTAAGGACTACCATCTGCACTTACAAAGCCTTGATAAGCGCAAAAAAAACCACCAAAAACTTTTAAATGACTGTCTGAGAAAGTGTATGAAAAAGGTAAGGTTGAATATTTCAAACACTTATTGTGATTCTAAAGATTCACAACTTGAATTTTAATTCAACACTGATACTGATTCACATCCGTGTCTTTCACAAGAACTGGAAAAGTGGATTGAACTACGATGCAATGATGTGTTCCGTCCACTGTAAGCAAAACACAACGGGCAACATTTAGGGGCTAAATAATGGTATTTGCCGATTCTTTTGTCACTTTTTTTTTCTTCTCTCTCCCTCTCCCTTGCATGCCACAGATGTTTTTCTTAGACGCTCCAACAGACAGGAATCTACTGGCAAGAAGAAAGCCCCGGTCTTCCCCGCGAGAGTACAAAGCCCCCCAGTCTGCACACAGCAGATGCAGGAAAGCTAGTCCATCTGCCACCAGCTTGCTGAGCCACATGGGCCTGAGAGCTTTAATGAAAGTGGGGAGGGGGGGACATTTATTTCTTTATCTCCAAAGGTCTCTATTATTTACATAATAGAAAAAAAGTTTGGAACAAAATCACTGCATCCATCACTGGATATACAAACAGAAATATCTAATGCATTTACAGCATGATTTATTGTAATTATTGAAAACAAAAAAGATTAAAGAATTCCTACTGCTAGAAAATTATGTTAAATTAATAAATTTTATGGGATTATTACTTCTAACAATAGCAAATAATTAAAAGTTTTATTTTACTGTTAATAAAGAAAATATTTTTGAACAAATCTCTGCTTTTGATGCCTTTTTTTTGCCTCCAGGAAGTATTACCGAATTTTTCCTGTTTTTTAGCAGTTAAAATATGCAAAACCCTTTTCTCGGACAGCTCAAAAGTGCAACACAGCAACAGGTAAGGGAGGGGCAGAGCTACTTTTCCCTCTGTTCAGATGGAGAAAACTTTGTTCACATCCTCTTTCTTTTCTTAGCATCCCACCAAAATGTCTTAAAATTACAGAAATAGAGCATTTCGGTGCATCTTTGACACAATTCAATATCAGTAACCAGCACATGTCCATATGGATTTATTAGAAGTATAAAAAAAGTTAAACACCACTTTACCTCCAAGCTCTGAGCTGTGCACTAGTATGATTTAACAGGCTCTGAGTAGTACATTATCTCTGCGGCCCTGCTGAGGCATATTTCAGCTGCATGATATTATTAAGAGCCGTAACACAGACCGAAAGATGTAGCGTTTTCATTAGTGTCAACCGTCAGAGCTCTGAGGTGGAGGGGATAAACACTAAACAAGCACGGCAGAGTGAGAGCGTGAAAGAGTCGAGGAGTTCAGGGCAGGGAATCAAAAGTGGCTAACATTAAAGAACTACTGTTAATTGCTCTAAGCATCAACATTATTCAAGTAATTTCTCCCATTTCTCTTTCAGTGCCAAAGGCGTAAGACTAGAAAGCTCCCCAGTAACATTTGCTCCTCTAAAGAAGGAGGAGTGGGAGGAAGGGGGGGGTTGTTATGCCCATTTCTTCATATTACCGACACTGTGTGCATTCCCCCCCCTCAGGTGGTTATTCCCTCCATGACTCCTCTTCTGGGGTTTCTGCTATCAAGGTCAAGGGATACAAGCAGGCCCGACGGTGCATCGACAAGGTGGCAGCAGAAAAAAATGGGGGAGAGAGACAGACAGACAGACAGACAGACAGACATGGGGAGTATGTACAGTGAGGAGGGGGTGGCGGCAGCTGGTTCACAACCTTGGCAAGAGCAGCAGAAGCGTCATGACAACGGCAGTGGAGGATGTTGACTTCCATCTCGTTTGAATACAGTGATTTCAGCAGTTTGCACTCACAACTACTGCGACGTCTGAAACCATTTTCAATTAAAGCTACAACAAAGTGAATTGCTTTAGGGTAATTAGATACAGACAAGCGGAGCCGGTTTCCCCATCACTTCAGTATACAAGATGATAAGAAGAATGCACTGAATATTTCAAGATAAATAGTTAAAGCATTTAATTGGTTAAGCTGCTCAGAGGATCCGAAGTCCATAGAAATGCACCTAGAATGCATTACTAGATCACTGAATGCAACATCCTGGACCACAAGATTGTAAAGACAACACTGTTACTGGGTAACAAATGTATCCATTTTTAGAGTTAGCCTGTGTTTAAAGAGGAAGTCAGGTAAAACACAAACACTGTAATATTTTTCCAAGTGACGTCCAGATGTGTCTGGCTACAGTTACACTGGTTCTAGATTGCACTGGCCCAGCCTCTTAAAGCTTTCAATCTCAATATTATTGAAGTGTCCGTCTTAGATACTGCTGGTTTTGGAAATGTCTGCAAAAGTTTAGAGATTTTAAGAGTTAAGGTAAGAGTCTCCTAATTTCCGTCATATTTTTTCTTTTATCTTGGAATAATGATGAATGCTTCAAACAGTAAGTCTTTCCTCAGCTACACAGTGTGACGTCAGCTCTGATCCTCCACAGCGGGAAGGATAGAACATTTTATTTGGACTGCTGCTCATTCTAGTTCTTGCAGAACACCCAGAATTAGTAAAATTTTAATCACAAATTTAAAGTTTCACGAAAAACTGGACATTTGAAATTGGTCACAACATTCTCTGCTTAAAAGATATTCAGTTTCCCGTTTTTTTTCCTTTCTGTATCACCTCACAAGAGGGAAATCCATTTACAAAAAAGGAAAAATCCACATTTATGGAACAGAACATGCCAAATTATTTTTTCTCAATCAAATGTTTCCTAAGCACAACTTGTAATCATAAAAGTCCAGCCCACAAACACTACTACTAATATTAATAATACACCAAATAAGGCCTAATGGCTCAGAAGGGCTCTTTTAAAGTCCTGTTCAATGTTGATCACACAATATGTTGCTTATGGCCACAAAGCAGAGGCCATTACAGACCGGTGATTATATAAGTGGTTGGAAGGCAGCACCATTTTAATATACTGTACTTAAGCACCAGGGTATCCATGGCAACTTGCACTTTCACCGTGCATTCAAAAATCCCTAATGAAATGTCTATTAAGGGGATGATAATGACAGTGTCCAAATATATTTGCATATGTGTTTCAGTGGGAAAGGAGAGCACATAATGAAGGTAGATGGGTCCCTGATCACTGCAATGATTTTTTTGTGTATTGTCTGTGATTTATTTGTTATGTTTTAACTGTAGAAGTAATAAAAACCTTGAGTAATTCTACTAATACTTGTGTGGATGATTTTTTTGGGGGGGGATTGAGAGTGTGAATTGAGCCTTCATTGCCTTCATCTTGATATCTCCACATGTGACTCCCATTTGCGTCTTTGGCGGACTGCCCAACAGGACATCCCTGAGGGACTGTTTGCTTGACTCAATATCAACAGTCTTAGTAAGCAGCTAGGGGAGGAGGGGGACAGGCTTGTGTTCCTATTGAAAATAAACCAAGCTGTACTTTCACTAGGCCCAGAAATATCAACACACACTGCAAGGAGCCGTGCCCAGCGCTCAGCAGCGCTCCGCCCGTGTTTTTTCAAGGTTTACGATACCTGCACCTCCCCTCCAGCTGCTTCTGCCGACACACACAGACAGCAGGTGGGCGGGAATTAAAGTATACATTACAGCAGAAAAATAAAAGAGATCGAAATGACAGAAGTCAGGCGGTTCAAGCTGACCCAGCCTCTTGAAACGAAGGAGCTGCGATACGAGCGACAGGCACTTCAGGTTAAATTGGCACTCCTGCTACCTCTTCTTATTTTCTCCACCACCACAACTGGCCTCAAAGCCAAACTCCTACTTTAAAAAAAAGGCTTTTCTTCAAAAGCATATTTGAATTAAATGAGTTGCTGAAATCAAACGCTAAGCTGAGATGAATACATTTAAACAAGCAAGCGAGGCTCACAGCAGTTTACCTGTTATAAAGAAGATGGGAACTGGATGAAAGTGTAGAGCAACAAGAGCTTACATTATTTCATAGTAGCTGATAGGATGTGGTAAGAATGGCAGCAGATTAATTATCTTCTGAAGGAAAGCACATAGCAATCTTTTTTTTTTCAGGGATATTTTTGTGTTTTCTTTGCTTCTAAATCTAGTAAATTCAAAGCTGCCACTGGCTAAATGCAGGTTAATTATTGGTTGCATTATAACAGCATTTAATTTCTCCCCCCGACTGTTGGAGGCAGAATTGCACCTGAGCTGCAAATGCCATTTTCAGCAGTAGACCTACAAAGTAAAAAGGTTTCCATTGAAAACCAAGAAATGGTGCTAAAGCTAAAAGACTGGGATTATTTTTAATTAGGCTTGGAAAAAGACATAATTGTAAGAAACGTGATCTTTGGTTTTCAATAAAAAAAATCAATATTTTCTTTATTTAAACCTTCACAACCTTTTGTACCATCTCCCAAAACGCCAGATGTGATCTAGATGGTGGTTTTTAGGCTTAATCTGGTCGGTTCTTCATAGTCTTGATTTAGTCCAGAAATAGTTGTTGAAAATTGGGCATTTGGTCAGTCTCATTTTGTCCCAATTTAGTCCAATAATAGACGTTGTAAACTCCATTTTCAACATCTTTTTCATGATCTGAAAATTTGATTCAACCTTTCACTTTTAAACCAAATCTAAATGTTGTTTGGACGTAAATCATGTCATCTTTTCAATGTCTTTTCAACCAGTTTTTGCTTGGTGGGATATACAACACACAACTAATGATTCAAAATGTTCTATAAATGATTCATTTCTGATGCAAGACGAGAAAAAAGAAAATTCAACACCTCCTAATATATCAGGATGTTGTTCTTGAAACAAATTATTAACCAATGTTGAACTTTTCCAAAACATACTAGGGCGTTCACCAAAAAAGTTGGCTTGTTGATAAGTCAAGTTAATAAAGCTAAGTGGACTCATATCTGGACGACTTGAAAGTTACACACCCCCCCTGCATGGCTGCAACCCTGCTCCGACATAATGTGATGACGTCATAAGATGAAGCATCGACTTGACTTCCATTTTTACTGTCAACTAGTCAAAATCACAACCTGTTAACACCCTAATATACATTTGATTTCAGTGTATTTTAACTTCCTCTTCTAGTGTTTTGTGGTCATTTTATCTATTTGCCATTTGAAATGTTTGTAGCTTTCTGCTACCAAATGAAGTCATCTGTTATAGGACAATGTTATACCAAGCAAAGGTCAATTAAATATTTTATCCATGCTTTGAAAATTTAGAATTTATATTAATTTTCTATATTACACTGTTAGTCTGCTGAGAAGAAATGTAGGTATATGACAAAAACATAAATCTAATAGTAAAAAGTCCTTCTGAGGTATTTTCAAATGAACACGGTTAAAAATCAAAAGAGTTAACTGACACAGGAAAACACTAAGCAAAAAGGGGGGATGTAATAAGCAGTAATGGTTAATAGCTCTGGAAAGGTTTGTTTTGTAGATTTGATATGGAAGTGAAAGGCTAAAGTACATATTGCTAATTTTGCCTTTAAGAAATTAAGTACCAGACAGGAAATGTCAAGTGCAGAAAGTTTTAAAAAGTCAAGGGTTAATTTAAATCCTGCAGAGGGACTTACAGTAGACCATTGATTAAAAGTATTTTTTTTTTATATTGATATATATATTTATATTTTTTATATCGAGCTTGGCCTGTTTTTCAGTTTAGTCCTGTTTCTCTGACTGTGACTAACTGTATGTGCGCTCTTTCATCCTCTGACATGGGAGC